GCTGTCCCTCCCCACGGACCCTTTCCCTGACGCCAGCCAGGGCTGCCCCATGCCCGGTGCGTGCCACAGCCGAGCCGCGTTCCCGCAGGTTCGTGGCCGAGAACGCCACGGAACAGCGGTGCCGCTACTTCTCCAAGGCGCAGAAATTTGTTTGCCGGGTGAAGGTGCCACCCGGTGCCGATGACACCAAACTCCTCGTGGTGTCCACGTGCGTCAGCAACATTCCCTGACGCCAGCCAGGGCTGCCCCATGCCCGGTGCGTGCCACAGCCGAGCCGCGTTCCCGCAGGTTCGTGGCCGAGAACGCCACGGAACAGCGGTGCCGCTACTTCTCCAAGGCGCAGAAATTTGTTTGCCGGGTGAAGGTGCCACCCGGTGCCGATGACACCAAACTCCTCGTGGTGTCCACGTGCGTCAGCAACAGCGCCGACCTGAGCCCCCCTTTCCCCGGCAGTGAAGCCCGACCCCCCCCTCAACGTGACAGTGGAGGCTCTGGAGAAGGCACCGCAGCGGCTGCGGGTCAACTGGTCCTACCCCTCCTCCTGGGACCCCAGCTTCTACCGCCTCCGCTTCCAGGTCCGCTACCGCCCCAAGCCTGCCCAGACCTTCACGGAGGTGAGACACCCCCTCCCCTCCCTGGCATGGGGCTGTCACCTGCCCCCGGTGAGGCTGTCTCCAACCCCACACGGCTCGTGTCCCCTCCAGGTGGACCAGGTGACGACGACGACGCTGGACATCCGTGATGCCTGGCGGGGGATGCAGCACGTGGTGCAGGTGCGGGCGCAGGAGGAGTTCGGCCACGGCACGTGGAGTGAGTGGAGCCGGGAGGCGGTGGGCACCCCCTGGACAGGTAGGAGGGGGACATGTGGCCCTGAGGCTGGAGGCTCAGCCCAGGGTCCCCCAGCCTCACGCTGCCCCCCTCACCTTGCAGATCCCAGGGATCTCACCTCCGAAACGGGACCCTTCAGCTCGCAGGTAGGGCACGGCCTCAGCGCCGGGGGGGACACAACATGATGCCGGTTGGGTCTTGTGTCCACATGTGGGACAAGGGGCCACCAGGGCGAGGGGGCTGCACCGTCTCGTCACGCCCCCCTGCCTTCTCTTGCAGTTCCCCATGGAGGGTGGCACCTATGGAGTCACGCTGCCCCCCGAGCTCGTCAGGGAAGACGCTGCTGATGGCACTGGTGGTGAGGAGGGGTCCCTGGGTTGGCTGCAGGGGGCTGGGACCGCCGGGTCCCTCCTCCCCATAG